CGCTCTTGGCTGCCGCTGCCGCCTTGTCTCCCAAGCTTGTCTCCCTTCATGATTTTGCTTTTGGCTGCCGCTGCGGCCTTGTCTCCCAAGCTTGTCTCCCTTCATGATTTCGCTCTTGGCTGCCGCTGCCGCCTCGTCATTTCTTGCTTGCCTTTGACGTGGATGTGATTTAGGTTTTTGAGTGGGATGGTTTGCCTTGTGTCGCTTGCATCTTTTATGTGGCAAACTAAGCATCGTTACTTTCGGAAGGAAACACACCCTTTTAGTGAGAAGGCAAAGGCATTCTGAAAGGTTTGCGCATGACCACATGCGCCCACTTGCGCACTTGGGCTGTTGAAATAACCCCGTGCTCAGCAGTTTTGTATTGGCGTGCGCCTTAACACTACTTTTGCATTGCCGGCCCAGAAAACGATAACAGAAAAAACCGATAACGAGTTTATACAGGATGCTATCTGGGGTCTATGCCGGTATAATTTTACGAAGAACCCTTCGCAGACGCCCTCGGGAAAAATTGTTTTGAGCCTAGGTCAGACAACTTCTGGCGCTTCCTTTCCTGATGAGTTGCATTGGGGGTTTGGGCAAACCATGCGAAAAGTGCAGGCTCGCGAACTTACAGGTTTAACAAATTTCCACATGTTTCCACATATACTGTGATCAATCTTCCACCATTTCATTGACATCTTTCCTCCATTCTGCAGCGGAGTTGGGAATTTACCGCAGGAGCTGCGCCAAGCAGTTTCCGTGCAGGCAAGTCGGCTCGCGATTGCGACAACAATTCTGTGTGCTGCTGTAAGCTCTTTATTCACAAGCACTTGGAAACTGTCCATACAAATCCCAACCGCCAAACAAACGGTTGCGACATGGCCTAAAACGGACAAAGAATAACTTCCTTTCGAAGAACATGCGAGACTTGCTAGAACTTGGTGGTGTGTGCTTGCTGGTCTTGCGGAGAAAGCCTTGTCTGTGAAGCTTGTCTCCCTTCATGATTTCGCTGCCGCTGCCTGCTTGTCTCCGGGCCCTTCATGACTTCGCTCTTGGCTGCCGCTGCTGCCTTGTCTCCTAAGCTTGTCTCCCTTCGTAATTTCGCTCTTGGCTGCCGCTGCCCTGTGAAGCTTGTCTTCCTTCATGATTTCGCTCTTGGCTGCCTCTGCCGGCTTGTCTTCCAAGCTTGTCTCCCTTCATGATTTCGCTCTTGGCTGCCGCTGCCGGCTTGTCTTCCAAGCTTGTCTCCCTTCATGATTTCGCTCTTGGCTGCCGCTGTCGCCTTGTCTGTTCAGCTTGTCTCCCTTCGTGATTTCGCTCTTGGCTGCCGCTGCCGCCTTGTCTGTGAAGCTTGTCTCCCTTCATGATTTCGCTTTTGGCTGCCGCTGCCGCCTTGTCTCCCAAGCTTGTCTCCCTTCATGATGTCGCTTTTGGCTGCCTCTGCCGTCTTGTCTCCCAAGCTTGTCTCCCTTCATGATTTCGCTTTTGGCTGCCGCTGCTTGTCTCCCAAGTCTCCCTTCATGATTTCGCTCTTGGCTGCCGCTGCCGCCTTGTCTGCCATGGCTGCCGCTGCCGCCTTGTCTCCCAAGTTCGTCTCCCTTCATGATTTTGCATTTGGCTGCCGCCGCCGCCTTGTGTGTGAAGCTTGTCTCCCTTCATGGCGTCGCTTTTGGCTGCCGCTGCCGCCTTGTCTCCCAAGCTTGTCTCCCTTCATGATTTCGCTCTTGGCGGCCTCTGCCGGCTTGTCTTCAAGCTTGTCTCCCTTTGTGATTTCGCTCTTGGCTGCCGCTCCCAAGCTTGTCTCCCTTCATGATTTTGCTTTTGGCTGCCGCTGCGGCCTTGTCTCCCAAGCTTGTCTCCCTTCATGATTTCGCTTTTGGCCGC